TTTTAGGTTGCAGCAACAATATCCAACTCTCACTGGCTTAAGCAACAAAGGCTTTTTTCTTGCTCACGTTTCAAGTCCATCATGGGCCATCTGGCAACGTTGGTGTCCTCTTAACTCTGCGACCAGCCTGAGGGAACAGCCTGTATGTTGGATGTTGAAAAAGTGCTGGAGATATTTATACTGGCGATGGATGCTCCAGCTCTGAGGTAGCCTGTGATGTTGCTGCTCCTAGTTCACTAGGGGGGTTCACAACCCTACCACCGTGTTTCCCCGAAAATAAGACAGGATCTTATATTTATTTTTCCTCAAGAAGACACCCTAGGGCTTATTTTCAGAGGATGTGTTATTTTTTTTTTAAGTACGGTACAAGGATCTACATTTCTTCAAATATAGTTAAGTCGTTTTCTTCTGGAACATCATCATAGTAAAATGGCAGCCACAGCTTTCCTTCTTCCCCCTGGGGACACACAATACCTAAAGCGGAGCGTCCTGCTCCTCACTTCACTGAGGAGACTTTCCCCTCACAGCCTCAGCTTGCAGCACGCACAGGATAGCTGGGACCCGACAGGGGGAGCCGACCTTGTTGGTGGGGCTGCCCGCACCTTTCTGGTCACCTCTGGGATAGTAGCTGTCACGACGGGGCAGATGAGAAGGGCTGCTCGTCTTCTTTCCTGCTTCTCGATGACATGCATGGGTTGTGCAGATGCGCTGCATAGCCACGCCCGTCACTAGGGCTTATTTTTGGGGTAGGGCTTCAAATGCGCACATGCTTAGACATCCTGCTAGGGCTTATTTTATGGGTACGTCTTATTTTTGGGGAAAGACGGTATGTGCCTGAGCTGTGAGTAGGCTGTGATACCTTTAGCAGATAGGGTTATAACGGCCTTAGAATGATAAACAAACAGATAACCACAAAACCATGTGCCTTTTTCTTTGAAAGCAATACATCAACTCTTTGTTAATTTGAATTCTATTGTATCAGTACACTGGGATTGCATCTTTCACTCTGGAATGTTCCATGTTGATATGCTAGCTCATGGACTCAACCCATGGGTTTCACACAGCATGCTCCTATGTCCCTTGCCAGACAAAACAAGGTGATCACTTCTGACCATTACTTATATAGCCATCTATTCATGCAACATCACTATCTAACAGATATTGCTACATAGGGTGGCACAGGTTGTGCACTGCACAAATTTACAAAGCGCCCTTCCCATTGTAGACCGTGTTGTGCAAAGCATGCACTGTCATATATGGAGGTTGTGAAACTATGCATTTCCTTTAAAAAAGAAAAAAAAAACCAAAGAACACTGTAAACATCTAAGCATAAAAAAGCTTATGTATGTGCTGTCTTTCGTACAGGGTTCCTCGTCTGTAACAGGACAGTAAGAACAGCTAGCTGGTAGGTGTGCGGGGAAGATGAAATAGGTGAAGCCCATCCGTGCTTACAGCATCAGCATGCGGCCTTCCCTCCCGCACCTTCAGTGAGATGGATGTGCCGCGGAAACGCGCTCTGTCTCTGCTCCGGGTGCAGCGGTGTGAGCAGCCCTCCCTGATACCAGCTCTGATGGATGGCCTGTCGGCCCCGCTTCCTCCCTGCAGTTACCAGCCCGATGCATTTCCCTTGTCTGATAAAATGCCACCAGTGCCCTTTCCTGAATTATGTGAAGCTCTGACTTCCCCCAGCCTCTTCCCACGACACTTGTCGCCTTCATGCACGTCGGCCCGAGAGGCACTAGACAACGGTGCTCTCGAGCCCTGCCACAGAATGTCCCTCGATTTTAACGCGGAGACCATGCTCTGCATCAACTGCATAGTTAGTTTAAAACTTAACTTTGAAAGAGGAGCACAAAAACCACCTCATAAATTAATTGGAAATATTAAACACAAGTTACATGGCATTATTTCAAAGGTTGCTGAAAGAACTTGTCTTAAAAAGCTTACATCATCTTTTCCTAAGACGAAAACCTGATCAACAAAACTAAAATATCACATTCACCAGAGTGCTTTCTATAGGCACGGGCAACATTCTCAAAAGTATTTCAAACGTGATAAAGTTTATAAGGAATTAAAAGAATATATTATAAAAATATATTCATTGGAAAATTGTGCCATTAAAATTACCATTATCCCCCAATATATGTGATATGTTTTGAAATCTATTATCCTCATAGAATCCAGTGAAGCCGAATGCAATATCCCAAAAAGAACCTCAACATTTATGTAATCATTAAGTTGTTTGCCATGCAAATTAACCAAATCTGCTTTTTCATGCACTTATATTATAATTGTGGGATCATTTATCCTTAATTCTGAACCATGGTCTATTGATAGTAGACCCCACTATAATTTTATCTTTAAGTTTCTGTTATTCTCACTTTCACATAACTGACGGTCTTTAAAGAATAAGTGCATGCGGCTTCTGTCTGAAGCAGCACCAGTAAATCAAAATCTCTTTTTGAAATGCAAAGAACTGTCATAAAATGTTAGGTTTATCTAGTGTGGCCAACCTCTCATATTATTAGTCAAGGTAATTAGCTATAGCTGCTGTTACACTAACAACCTTTAAGTCTCAGTGGCTTTAATAAAACAAAAACAAAAACAAAAACAAAAAACAAAGTGTAGTTCTTGTTCAGGTCAGTCACCTGCGGGTCAGGCAGTTCTCTGGAGCTGTTCCAGGTGGTGACTCAGGGATCCAGCCTCTCTTGCGCTCTCTTGTGGCATCACTGTACCTTAGGGCCTCCTCAGAGTTCTTATCTGGATTTTCCACATTAGTGAAAACAGGCAAAGAACACCAGCACAGGATCACGCAGGTAACTTTTGGCTGGGCCTGAGTGAGTCATACAGTCCCAGCATAACTATAAGGGAAGTAGGAAAATGTCACCTTGCCCTAGTACTCATTAAGATAAAACTGTACATTTAGCCATCAGACAGTTTCTATTTCAATTGTACTTAAAATTGTGCCCTGCCCACCAGGGAATATGTCGTATTTTTATAAATATGGTATTTTATGTATTTAGTTTTGCACCGTTTGTTAAATCAGACAAATTTTGATAAGTTATTCAAAGTACATATTTATAAAAATATATTCATTGAAGGTTTTGCCTTTAGAGAAACATCATCATCCGTATGTATAGTTAATGTAGTTCTGAAACCTGAGACATAATCAGTGAAGCACATTTTATATCCTAGACTTCAATCTGGAAGTGATTATGTTTGCTTACTGTGCGAAGTGTACATAAGGAATTATATAATTTACCGCTTTGGAGATGTGATAAGGTAAGATAAACAGCAGGTAAGATAAACAGCAAAGGTAAAATAAACAGCAAAAAATCATCAAAAATCATTCAGAGGAGTTGAACTTAATGAGTAGGACCACTTCTAGAAGAACCCCCACATTTGAGGGTCTCTTATATGGAAGGCCTATTAGATTTTTCTTAGAAAACTGATACTCGGGGACATGACAATGTTTCCTTTCCAGGAACATGTCAGCAGATTTTAAGCTGCTCCCATTCTAATTAGGAAAGCTGACGTTTCCTTAATTAGAAAGGCTGCGCTTAACATAGTATTTGACAGTGTCAAATACTGGTAAATTACAAGCACTCTATTCAGAGCCCATTCCACAAAGAGACGGTATCATGAACATTCACCAGTTAGCTCTCGCCACACAGAAGTGGTTCATGGTGTTGGGAAACCGAGGACGTTCAGGGCCTTAGGAAGCACTCAAATCTCACACTCACGCTGTCCTGGAAGGTTCTAAGTTGTCATGGATGATAGTAAAGACAAATTACTCAATGCTGCTTGTTAAACTGCAGTAAGGAAGACTGTACTCAGGACCACGGCGATAGGTATAGCGACCACAGAAATGGGGGATTGCAGTGGGGGAGAGAGATTGGGCTCGACACTCACCACAGCTGCACAAGGTGGGGTGCATGGATGGAGAAAGATTAAATGGAGACATCGGGGTGAGGGGGTTCTGGCTGAACTGACGTAACAGGATTCTAGCTGAAGCCAGCCCAGGTGACTAGACATGCCCTGGTGGTGGGGTGGGGATGAGAAACCCGATCATATATCCAGGGTGACCGGATACTGAGGGTAATGAGTTCTTGCTAAACTGACTTTAAGAAGGTTCTTGTTGAATATGGATTTTTACAAGGAGGTACACACGTGGACCTTGGAGAAGGCCCAGGAGGCTGGCTAAAGTCTGTCCAAGCAGGGACTCTCTGTCCGTGGAGCCTGGGACAGATGTGAGGTCCCTGGAGATGAGACAGCTATGATTTAAGATGCTTGAGGGCATTTACACCACACGTCATGTTCTCTGGGCACTAAAGAGAAAGCAGTAAGGCTTAGCTTTTATTTCAGAAAACTAGAGGCCTGCACAAGTCTTGTCTGCTACCATGGGTCATGCAGTCTCGACCAGCTTCTTTCTTCACAGCCACTTTTTGCCTTTTTACTAGAAGTGCTTGATCCAAGGTGAGCCTATCCTAGTCCCAACAGTGTGCCCTTTTCACTCCTCCCTCTCACCGTTCCGGGAGTTTGTTCTGACTCTGGTTTGGCTTTCCTAAGAAATCCAGTTGAGAAAGAGAGAACTTAGACAACAATATTTTGCTTATCAAGTTTCTGCAAGAAACATTAAGTTGTATTTTACAGCTGTGTTCATAGAATTCCAACATGATCTCCAACCTCCAATGTTCATTTTTTTCCTTCTGATTTTAAAAGAAATCAAAGCATTTTTGTGGACCCCTAGAAAGGCCTTAGAAAGTGTGCTGGATGGGGGGTAAGCTGGCTTTGCCCTGCCCTCTGATTTATCTGTTTCTTTTCCCTCTCTGCATGTGCATGACTCAGCCCTTCTCCAGTGAAGAAGGGATTTGACGAATCTTTGCAGAACTGAAACTTGTATTTCCCATTGCTTCAGATCATGCCCCAAACCCAGTAAACATTCTACACGTTGTTGAATTGAATCACACTAGAAAGGCTGGTATTAAGAGCACACAGCATTTTTAATTGCCAAGAAAAATTTTATTTTAACTTTGCATTAGCACATTCTAAGGAACTTTTTACTTGATGTGATCATTTTGAAGATAGCATTTTCCAGAGATGTGACAGACACGTCTGTTTTGTTCTGTTTTGTTTTGTTTTCCTCCACTTTTCACTGTATGCCCTTCGGGGAAATCTGAAAAGTCAGCTTTCTTTCTTGGATTTTGAGTCCTACAGATACGTGGGTTGTAATTTTGCTCTTCCTGAAATTCCTGCCCAATTTATAAAATGATGCCTCTGTATACATTACTAAACTGCTTTACTTTTAACATCTATGTAATGCTAAGAATATAAAATTAAAAACAAAAATTATTTAAAGCTTCAAAACCCACTAAGGTCTTGACATAGACTCCAGAGGTACTATCGATAGATGCTTTGAAAACAAGTAGCCAATAGATGCTTTGAAAACAAGTAGCCGTGCCTTACAGCTTTGCGAAACACCAACCAAGCAACCAATGGCTATGCCTTGAAGAACAATTGTTGGGTTTCTCCTGGACAAAAGAATGCAAATTTCCTGTTACACATTCAAAGCAAAAGTTTCAGATGGTAAATGGTTTGAAGTCTAAAGTAACTGTGGCTATTAGAAATAAACCTGATTTTCAAATGCCCTGAAACACAGTGGTGATCTCAGTCATTTTGAGGCAGTTTTAAGCTCAATACATTTGCATCCAGAGGTAAACTTCATCCTTCATTTGCTATTAACAGTTTACAGATTAAACAGCTAATTCTCCACAAATAGGTGTTCACATAATCTATAAAAGCTCTTCAAGTTATTTAATTTCCAACATACATTCCCACATCATCAAGTATTTTCTTAAAGTTCACTTGCATTGAATGTGCTAATCTTTTGCGTAAACATTGTCACCTTTAATCACAAATTCATAATAGTGGCTTTAACTAGTTTTTGCATGATACTATCAGCAACAATCCTAACATCATCAATACACGAGCGCACTCTTTAACAAGAATGTTTTCTAAAACAAGAAGACAGATTTTCCTCAATTTCTGGGATGAGAAATCCATGTTAAATGAAGACTCCTGTTGGCTTTCCAGCTTTCAACTGTTCCGGGTGGGGGTGGGGAGTCACTTCTGTTTTGTTGTTGTTTGTTTTCCAGGAAAGAAAAAGCAAAAATTACAGACCGAAATAGAACTTTAAGAGGAGCCGGGTAGACACTGTTGAATCCTGGACGTTCCCTGCGGCGGAGGGTAGCAGAGAGGAAATGCGAGCCAACTTTCAGAAAGCCCAGGACTCAGCTACCTCCTGTCCAAGCCACTGCACGGGGGCCAGGCGTTTCGTTCCCCTGCACTGTCTTGGGACTGAGCAGATGCTGACTAAATAGGAGGTGCTTTTGCGGAAAAGGCCACAAAAGGGGTAAATCGGTAAGCAGGTGGGTGTATTGTCTGCCGATTTATCCATAGAGGAGTTCCAATCCTATTGTTGGAGAATGTCTCCTGGCTGAAGAAGGGACTGCACCTCACATGCCACAAGTGGAGGGGTCTGTGCTCAGGATGGGCTGGCGGTTCAGACTCTGGCACCACCCCCAGCTATGTCACAATCAGCCACTTCCCCGTGCAACCGGTTATGTATTTTCCCTCATCGACTGGGGTTTTCGGGAAATGGAATGAAAAAAAAAACAACAAAACTGTGCATCCTGTTGTGGATGGAAGGGACAGATATTTCTCAGCCACAGGATAAAACTATGTAAAACCAAAGAATTTACCCTCACTACTGTGCTGCTGCCACTAACTTGTGCCTACAAGTGAAGATGATCGTGCTTGTGTGTACAGATCACGGACTGCTTGTGGGGGCTTTTGTTCCTCCTGAAATATCCCAGACATTCCAAGCCAGGGATTCTCAATTATACTGGGAGAGAGTTCCACAACAGTGGCATCCCGAAGTGGCCTTTTCATTCAGAACTTCCATTCACCAAAAAAACAGTGGAACCCAATTATAATAGTATAAGTTAGGGTAATCAGTCTGGGAGAGATTTGTCTTGGGATTATTGTTAATGACGGGTATCACAAAAAATTACTGTGCAAACAAAAAATCTATTTGTGAGCCTCTACTTTTTTTTTTTACTTAAATACTGATAAGCCTCTATGTCCCCATTTTAAATATCTTAACCTTCTTGAAGAAAAACTGTGTTATGTGTGTATATGTGCACATATGTGCGTATATATACATATATAAATAAAAGTATATATGTGTACATCTATATAAACGGTAAATAGCATTTACTATGTGTTCTAACTAACACCAATAATGATGACTAGCCTTCCAATAACCGAATCAGAACTTACCACGACCTATTGTTGATAAAGAAGATGGCCCTCCCTTCACTACAAAGTTGCACATGTTAAGATTTGCTGAACTTAGCTTAAACTTGGCTATCTTTTATATCATGCTGCTGGGGAGTCTTGGTGGTTACTGCAAAACTTCAGATCACTGAGCGAATGATACCTTATACTGTTGAACATACGTGTATGCCGAGGGGTGAACTAAGGTTCCCTTGTGCACCTTCCTGTTACCTGTCTGCACTGGTGTTGGAGGTACTCTAGTGCGCGCCCTTCTATCCCTCTGCCAGGTGACCAGGGACTCTGGCCAGGGAAGGCACAAGTCCAGCATCTTCCTGTCCACACATGGCAGAACTTAGTCCTCACCCCAACCCCCTAGTGGAGTAACTGCAGAGCTCCTGTTCAAGCCTTCAGGTGATAAAACAGAGAATCGGTCCAAACCCAAGACCCGGACGGGGTTCGCTGCGCCCAGCGCGCTCGCAGACGGGGTCCGCAGGCAGAGGGCGCGCCTGTGCACGCGCACGCGCGCGCGCCTGGCGCACAGACACTGCTAGCGGCTCACCCGCGCGTCGTATTTCTCTCTGTCGCACTGGCAAGACAGGCCTGAGGAGTGACAGCAGAGCTGCAGCCAGGGCTTCCACAGTTGGTTCCCCAGTGACAACTGGTTGGGGACCTCTGGCAGGCTCCGGGTGTGCTCGTCCGCAGCTGCCTGCATGACCTTGAGGATCTCATGGAACCGGGGCTCGGTGGCGGGGGTCAGTGGGTTTCTCTCCCTTGGGTCTTTGGAAATGTCGAAGAGCAGAGGCGGGTCGTGATGCGTCACGAATTTCCCGAAACAGAAGCACACGTGCGTGGAGAAGCACCCGTTGGCACCCTCGGGCGTGAACTTGGGGGTGAAGAAAAAGGCTTTCCAGATGGCCGTGCCTGCGGTTTGAAAGGACGGGAATGGTGTTAGGTGTGGAGCGCGGCGGTCGCGGTACTTGCCACCAATGGCAGCGGGACACAACAATGAGGCCAGGGCATGCTCCAGGAAGGCCGAGGCTTACCACGCAGCAGCGCCACGCTGGTGCCCGCGGGACGGATTACCAAGCCACACGCAGGCACGCACACAGCCAGCGGGGACAGTCTCACACCTTCGGGGACCTCAGTCAACAGCCTGTGTTCTCGGTTTTGAGAAAGCCCAGGAATGCTGAATCAACAATTAAATGAGACTTGAAGTGGGGAGGGGGCAGCAAATGGGGAACAGAGATGATCCCTTGAGGGAGGGCGAAGATGTTCTGAAATGAGATTGCGACCAGGGTTGTACAGCTCTATGAAAATTCACTAAAAATCTCTGAATCAGAATATCCCGGCATGCAAATTATACCTTAATGAGCTGTTGGGAATTCCAAATTAGGTGAATGCATCCACGCCAGATGGTTAGTTTTAAAAATGTAAGTTCTGGGTTCCGTTACACACCCAAATATTGAAATTTCTTGGAAAAACTAACTTACAAACAAGTGGAAAATTAGGAAATAACTGATTCATTTCCAGTTTCTTGGACAATGTCCTGATTTTCCAGGGAGCTGCGTGCTCTCACGCACCCTCTGGGAGGAGCCTAAAAATGTTTCCTGCGTGTGGAAAACGTAGCAGGTGAAAACAGAGAATTAAAATGCATGCACCAATGAGAGTCAGTGGCAGAGTGTGAGCATCCTTACAGCTGTTTGCATATAACCGAAGAGACACTCCCACTAGGAAGCGCCACACAACTTATACGTAGAATGACAGCGGCAACTTTGGTAATTATAGGAATTTTGTGATTGACTGATCAAAATATGAAATAAATTAGTGGAACCAATTTAAGCCAACAGTCACTGAGCCGTCCCCAGATGGCCCCTGACCTCAGACAAGGTTATTCACGGGAAAAGTCAGCCTCTGTCTGGTTTGTGTTTGGAAGCAGCAGCTAGGAAACGTAGGGCAAGCAAGGTGAACGTGCTCCAGATGGATCTATTAAAGGGGATTCTTAATGAGGTGCCTGCAGACTGCGGTGTAGCCGATTCTGGGGGAAGCGGGACATGACATCCCTTTGACTTTACACGCGCTCAGCGCACTTGCCTTCTAAAGATAAGGTCAGGCCGGCGCACAGACACGCCAGGCTGCAGGAAGAATTTCGGAATTGGTAACCATCTCCAGCAGAGTTTTAAAAGGCAGGGGATAACCTAAAGATTCCTCACATCCCTTCCTCTCATCCTGCTTTCTTCCTTTGCAGCCTGAGAATCCCCTGCCTGTACCAGCAAGGGGAAGCCCCTTCCTGTTCTGGAACCCAGCGCTGCAAATCTGGAGGGTGGCTGACACTCGACATTCGGGCCAAGCCTCAGCATGTTTCAGACCCCAAGAGAGTGCGGCCTCCTGCAATGAATTCATTTCAAGGGCCTATATTTTCCACTTGCTTTTGAAAGCTGCTCACAGGGATGCTGTTATTACCACCTTCACGTGGTCCGCCCCAGATGCGATCTGGAACACGGGTGGGAGGCCCAGGCCACGGTTCACCTGGGAGTGGCGACGTCGCTAAGGAGTTTGGGACGGAGGCTTCATTTTTCGAAACAATGATTTAGCATGCTCTGAGGCTGCTTGCCTTTTGACCCTCTAATTTGAATTTTTAAAAACTTTTCATGAAAGGACAGAGTGCTTAGTCTCTGTGCTGTTTCTTGGGACCACTTTGAATTTTCCCCGACGAGAGAAACAGAACTGTGTTTCATGGTACGTCGGCCTGTGAGGGTCCCTACCCGGGGAGCTTGCTCTGTTGCTCGTTAGGATCCCAGGAACTGACATCTCCAAAGCAGTCATTTCAAAGACAAAGAGTAAACCTCAGTCGCTTGATAAAATAGGAGGCACCTGGCCCCATGTTATATTTTTTAGTGGCTATATTTAGTCCTGTGTTCCAAAATTATTTTGATAGCTTATTCCCTCCTGGATATCCTCATATGTTAGAAAAATGTTGAATTAAAAAAAATGTTCTTTTTATTATTGTATTTTTAAAATTCTGATCTACTGGTCAATGGTGAGAACTCTGAGAAAGGCTGCATCTCTCTCACCCCTGCGATAGATGGATATCCTGACCACCACAGGAACTTACATTCATTGACAGCTGAGATCCAATGACCTAGAGAAGGGAGTCTTAAATTTTATATAAAGAATGCAGGGAAAGTAAGGTGGACAGATTTTGTTGTTGTTGTTAAAGTATTCTCAGTAGTGATGAGGACAGTAATTCTACTGAGGTTTAAAAAATGCTCCCGGAAGTTAAGACAACTAGGATTGTCACAATTCCTGGTCAACAACATATGACAGTCAGAGTAATGCTGCCTCACCACACTATGACACAATGCTTTGGAAACAACCACTCATCTGATGAAGCACATTTTTATGTAAAATTACCACTAAAAAAAAATGTGACTCAACTCATGAGAGAAGACATGTTACAGTCATTTGACAAAAAGACAGAATTTAGGTGAGAGCAGCTTTCTACTCAAGCAGGATCTGGACTCAGCATCTTTCATGTATAATCCTAAGACAGTTGTATTATTAAAATTAAAATAGGCTACAAATGAAGTTAAATAAAGAGGTCTCGAGGTTCCCTGGTCAGGTGGCCAGGAGGCTCCCAAAATGAGCAGACGTGGTCCCCCAGAATAAAAAGGGTGCAAAGCACATCTGGCAATGCTGTCGCACATTCGAACAGACAGGAGCTGAAACTTCAAACTAGTCTGAGGTCCACACCGCCGGTTGGGTTAAGGGCTTAACTCCAGGCATCCACACTTGAGGTTCAAATCCCAGCTTTGAGATTTCCTGGCTACGTGATGCTGGACTCGAATGCTCTCACCTCTCCGTAGCCCAGTCTGCCCCTCTGTTAAATGAGGATAATAATAGCCCTTGTCTGGTGGCAGTGCTTTGAGGATTAAACATTCGTTCCTACACATGATGCTCTCAGAAGGCTGCCGGGTCTGCAGCAAGGGCTGCACCTGAGTTGGCTGCCGCCAATTTATGCACAAAGCACGATGGTTTCTGCCTGCCCTTACATCTGTTGCTACTGTGATGCGTGTCTTAAGACATTTTTTCGCCCCAGCTAAGGATCATGAAAGAATACAGAAAACTAAGTTTAAATGGCTTCCACACATGGGCTCTCAAAGTATCACTCAGATTTAGACTTCCCGTGATGAATGTTGCTCGACTGCTAGTCTTGGTGAGGTTGATTTTGGTGCCTGGAGGATTCCATGTATATATCCTATAAAGCACACCCAGATATTTTGGGTCTTGGGTCTTGGCAATGTTTCCAGCTCTCTCGCCATCTTAGAGTTCTTCAAGAACCATTTCAAATACTGCGCTGCTTTTCAGCTGGGAGGGACCCACACATGAGGGACCCTAGTTTTGCCCTCTAAGTAATGTGGATGTCATCTAATGAACTGATGCCTTCACATCTACCCCGTGGTCCTCAGGCCTTGGTGACCTCCTAACTCTTGCAGTACACCTCAAAAAAATCACTCAACACATTCTCCTATCCTCAGACAGCCACCCCACACCAACTCCCCAAATCTCTGAGACCCAAAATCTCTTGTGTCTGCACCTGCAGCCACTATGGGGTCACCTGTGTCTTGTAACTCAATTCACATAAACTACCCAAAAGCAGCCTGGCCCTAAGCCCTCTCTCTCTCTGACCCCTGAGGAGCATTCCTGCCCATTCATAATAACCCAAACCTCTCAACTATTCGCCCCCGGGCTAATGTATTACAGATACAGTTCTTTCCTGTGGCTGGCTGTACTGCAACTCCAGATACAGAAGTAGGGAGGAGGAGGAGAAGGAGGGGGAGAAGGAAGCAGCTCAGGTGGCTGCGAACACCTGCTGCACAGCCCGGCAGGTTGACAGCAACCCTAGCTTTCCCCATTGAGGCCTGAGTATTTGGGGACAAAACACTCCAAATACTCCCTTCCACTCAGCCTCGGTATCTGCATATGAGGGACAGGAATATACTAAATATAACCCAGTACAAAGCGGCTGTGTGGCATACACAAGACTCGTCCTTCGCTCCCCCAAGCCCCGTGCCCTGCCTGTGTATGTGGACAGTCCCCCCAGCCTTCAGGGCCCTGCTGCGCCCTCCTCCACAAGCCCATCCGTGTTCCCCGCTGGAAGTGGCTTGTGTCCCTCTGTTCCTTTCGCCAGTTTGCACCACTCAGCCAGTCCTTGAAGTCCCCAGTTCTCTTGCTGGATTATTTCCTGTCTAAGAATTGTAGCTTCCACATCTCATGAGTGTATCTCCCATATCTCACAAGTGTATAGTACCTAGTGCCTTACATATAACAAGTGGCCAAAAACAAAAAAACAAAACAAAACAAAAACTGTTGCATACTTTAAAAAATGAAGGAGATAATGGCCATTAGTCGATGGTTGTGAAAGAGAGGGGAGAAGACGGCTGTCATGCTGAGATCCGGCGTGGGCAGACAGCAAGCCCAGGGCGTTCCGGCATCTCTCCTCGGGGATGTCCCCAGAGCATCCTGCCTAAGAGCACGCTGTGGCCTCCAGCTCAAAGGACTGACAGGCGACTGGGAGGCACCAGAGAACGGCATCTGGCCACGGCAGGTCACCGAGCGGGGCAGTCAGAGAGCCTGTAAGTGCATTTGCTGTGGGACCTGTTGTGTCACAAAGTGGGCAGTCATCAGAATTCGTGTGGCCAGCACAAACTGCTCGTGCCTTCAGAAAAGAAAGTTCGTGGAGAGGCATGAAAAGCGCAAGTGAGGGCAGCCGGGAGCGTGCGGGTCAGGGACAGAGCAGGCAGAAGGAGGACGCGAGCTGACGGTCCCAGGGACAGACGTGCTTGGGGAATGAGAGAATGAATGTGGAACCAGTCCACGGAGACACGGAGATGCCCAGATACGTGGGTAGGCAGAGGGAACAC